TCCACTTCAGCCTCTTCATTCAAATGCCCCAAAGCTCCAGGCACCATTGTTTGAACTTGCCACATCCTTTCATGACTCTGAGCCCCTGAACAAATGGGTTACTCTGCCTATAAAGATATGTATCTTATTCTTTACCTGACAAAGCCATACTTATTGTCTCAGTTCTGGCTCAAATGCCACTTCTATCAAGCCTTTACTGTCCATCCTCGCCCCCAACCTTCAAGCAATAAATTGTTTTATTTTCCATCCTCTCTGACAACAATTTTATCTGGACACCTGTAGTTATCTGTTGTCATGGCTCTCTTCCCTACCACACAGCATTCCCTCAGGAGAAGCACCTTTGTTTTATTCTTCCTTATACTCACAGTTCCTAGTGCAGTTCCTGAGACATGATAAAGTCTCAGTGAATATATGAGCAATAAGTGGATGGATGCATAAACGTATGAGTCATTCATTCAACAATTATTTACTGAGCCCCCTACCATGTTCTAGATACTGCCAAGGTGTGGGAATGCAAAATGGCAAAGGAGACAGACACAGTCCTTTATGAAACTTGGAGTCTAGAAATAGAGGCAGAAAAAATGTAAACCAGCAAATGCAAAACTTTTAAATTGTGAATATATGTGCTACAAAGGAAATTAACCTGGTTCATAAATAGAGAAAAATAGAGTGAATCTACTTTTGAAAATAGAGTGAATCTACTTTTGATAAGGTAGTTAGAGAAGATCTCTCTGAGAAGTAACATGTCAACTGAGAGCTGAAGGATGAGAAGACATTAACAAGAGGATGTTCCAGAGAAGGGAACAATATGTGCAAAGGTCCTGAGGCAGGAAAGAGGTATTCAAAGAACTAGAATGTTTAAATAATTGAAAGAAGAAAAGGATGACAGGGGAATGGTGATTAAGAGGGAGACTAGTAGGAAAGAGAAATACGCAGACAGGAAGCAAATCTTGTAGACCATGGGGAGAAATTTGTTTTCTAGGTCTGATGCAGTAGGAAAGCAGCTCATGTTTTATAAAGATCATTCTAACCACTATAAGGGAAGAGATTGGAGGGGTAGGAATGAGTGAAGAGAGATATATGTTAGAAAATTGCTGTACTTCAGGTGAAAGATAATGAAGGCCTGGACTAGGCTGGCAGCAGTTTAGATCAGAGACACAGACTAGAGAGACATTTTAGAAGAAGAATCAACAATATAGAAAGTAGCTTGCTGAAGAAATGAAAAAGGAATCAAGAATGACTCTCATGTTTTTGACCTGAGCAATAGATGGTGCCATTTATTTAAAATGAAAGGTCTAAATACAGAATGGTTTAGGGGATGTGGTGAGGATGAAAATGAAGAGTTCTGTTTTAAATAGCAAGGCCTAAAGTAATCCAAGTGGCAATGTCAGGTGATTGGTTGAATATATAAATGTGGAGCTCAGATAAGAGGATTGGAAGCCATTATTATATAGTTGGCATTTAAAGCCATGGAAAAGAGTATACATAAAGAAAAGAGGTCTAGAATCAAGCCCTGAAACAACACACCAGCCATCTTAGCTGTGATTCAAAAATATCTATCAATGAACAATATATAAAACAAATTTGAGGAGGGAAAATGATTGAGGATCCATTGCACTGGGTAACCCAACAGATGATGCAGACCTAGGCTAGAGTAAGTGAAAACTGATCTTTTTGTCTTCTCATTGTCTACTCTGTCCCATGGCATTCTCATTTCATCTTTTAATGTCAACCATTGCCTCTGTGTTTGTATTTTAATCTTAATATTCCTACATGCCTCCTGAATATCTCATTCTGAGCATCCCACCAGTACCTCAAACTAAAAGACTTCCCCCCAAATCCAGTTCATTTCTTCCATTCACCTATATTGCTCTCGTTACACTACTACTCCTATTGATGGCACTGTGGGTCTCTCAGTGACCTAGAAAATAAAAGGTGGTTCTGTCACTGAGTCTTTTTTTTTTTTAATTTTATTTTAATAAGTTGCCAAATTCTTTTGATTACACACCTTTAATATTATTTAATCAAGCTATTTCCATTTGTAAAATGTAGTCATTTAAAAAAGTATCCACTGTTATCATAGATGCTAATGAAATTCTTTTAACCAGAGATTGTGTTACTATTTTTTAAAAACTGTATTTTCTTCATATCTTCTTCCTAAAAATCTCTCTTTGGACTGAGATATAGTATGAGAAAAAGTTAAGACAGTCTGCAGAGAGATTTAGACTGGCAAAGCCATTCAACCTTAGCAGAAGGAACTACTTCGGTTCTATTTTTATCCTCACATTTAGGAATGAATCACTGAAAGCAGAGAGAGAAATAGAGATGGATAGGAAAGACCTGGGCCATCTAATTCATCTCCTTGTTAGTGTAGGGAAGTTTCCTATGTCAAATACCTCTGAAATATTGTGCAATAAAAGTCTTATATTACAACATTTCAATCATTTTGTAAGGTGATTAATTATGTTTCCAGTTCCTCTGAGCTTTTTTCTCTGAATTCCTTTCCATGTATCCCTGTCACTTGAGAGGTATTTCCCTTTGTACCCAGAAAGGGCCAAAGATCACAAAGGGATGAATGCCAGTTATTTTCTATAGTGATGATGAGTCTTACGTTAAGTTACCTTACTGCTTTATGATCTTTTTTGTGACCAGTGGCACACATTTGTGAGGTAATTTACTCAGAACAAACAGTGTTACAGCTTGTTACTTAGGATGTTTAAAAACTAACAGGAACTTCTAGATATCAAACATGTTCCTTGATACCTAATGGCATAGATGCATTATTCTAATGAGGTCAGTGAAATACTTAGTGTGGGTGTAATACTCATTATGCCCTATAGCGTTTTGATGGAAGAGAGGGGGTAGCATTTGGGAGTAGTATGTTTTTAAGTTCTTTGTCATTTAATATCTCTGTAATCTCATTTATCACATAAGAATTTGTATGTTTTCTTTTTTTTTTTTTTTTTTTTTTTTTTTTTTTTTGAGACAGAGTCTCACTTTGTTGCCCAGGCTAGAGTGAGTGCCGTGGCGTCAGCCTAGCTCACAGCAACCTCAAACTCCTGGGCTCGAGTGATCCTTCTGCCTCAGCCTCCCGAGTAGCTGGGACTACAGGCATGTGCCACCATGCCCGGCTAATTTTTTATATATATATCAGTTGGCCAATTAATTTCTTTCTATTTATAGTAGAGACGGGGTCTCGCTCTTGCTCAGGCTGGTTTTGAACTCCTGACCTTGAGCAATCCGCCCGCCTCGGCCTCCCAAGAGCTAGGATTACAGGCGTGAGCCACAGCGCCCGGCCTGTATGTTTTCTTAAAAGATGTATTCTGTTGATTTTCTGATCAAGTCTCTACATTCTGTCATCCTTTTTATAAAAAATATTCTTACTCAGTAGGTGTTATTTTTTCAGTTTCCATGATGGTTGCAAACCTCTTAATTGGTGCTCTTTTATATGTGCCGTTAACATTCTGCATACCCCCTCTTCCACATCATTAATAAAGATGCTAATGACACTAGATCTAGCATTTCCTTTGTGCCTCCTACCCCAAACTGAATATAATCCATCTAACATTATTCTTTGTTTACAATGTTTAACATAATTCTTAATCTAGTTGAATCTGTTCTTATGCAAGCCAATAGTTTGGGCAAGAAAAGTTCACATGAACCAATACATATTGTAGTTTTTAACTGATTTCAGAAACTTAAATTATATAACTTAAGTAATTTTAACATAGTTTAAGTTATTCCTCAGCAATCTAGAGCATTCATAACTAGCTACTTATGAAAAGCAACCATATAGAAATTTGAGACCTCGTTTTTCATAAGCCATGCATTTCCTCTACAGAGTTCTAATTTGGACTTTTAAGCAGCTTCCACTTTATGATATTCACTTTTTTCCAACTTGAGTCTGTAAAACTAAAGACCAGGCGAAAGGCCTTGATCAGTTCTGGATACTGAAAGTAGAAGGTCATGTTTGATTTGACTTTTCTTCTTATATGTTATAGAATTCTGGCAACTACCCAATAGCTGACCCAGAACTGTTTTTCTTAGGAGACTGTAATAAAATTAGAAAGTAGCAGTATTAACATTTATTAGAAACGTTAAAGGACATGCTTGAGTTTAGTGACGCGCACTAGAAAAAAATGAGTTCCTTGGTCCACAATGTACATGACCTCAGCTTTGCCCCCTTCCCTTTACCATGGACAATCATGCCCCTAAGAAGACTTCATTCTGTCTCTCATCTGGTGTTCTAAGGAAATCTAAAGCCACAGAGATCACAACAGCTGCAATAAATAAAGCATCTATTCAATACATTTCCATGCCAAATATTTATTCAGCATTCTTTTGGCCTTGGTTTGATAGAAAACAGCATGGTGAACTTACTGCCTCTCCTTTACTACAGTGAGCCCCAAGTAACTATGAATGATTTAACAATTCAAAATTGCATGTAAGCAAAATCACACTATTCCCTCTACTTTAAAATTATTAAGACAATTATAAAGAGAACTCCCCAAAAATGTAATTAAGAAAGTCTATTGTTACTATTGAAGAGGTACTAGAATTAATACTTGGCTATTTTATTCTTCTAAAGAAGATATTAGAAAAGCATTCAGAATATGTGTCCATGCAATTGTATGGGGTGGAGGGGGATCTTTAAAAAATAAGTGTCACATATGTGGCATTATGAGGAAGAATATTATTAAGGAATTTCACAGAATTTTTATGTAAAATCTTATCATACAGTATTATGATCTCAGGGATATTTAGTGATATTTACAGACTCTTTTGAGGTTCATTTATTCAGATCTTATTTTAAGGAAGAACTTATAAGATTTAGATCTAAAATATAATTTTGTAATATGTCCAGTTTATTCTATTAAATCCAACTCAAAAAGGAGCTGTAAAATGATGTAAACAATTCCCATTCTTTGAGTTGTTACACTTCACTTGAAATGCATTCCTTCTGGATTAAAAGAGCAATTCCTCTTTGTTTCCCTCTCCAGGCTGAGGTTCAACTATGCTACCTGGAAGCACAAAGAGATGCTGTTGAGCAGATGTCCCTCAAGCTGTACAGCGAGCAGTACACTAGCAGCAGCAAGAGAAAAGAAGAGTTTGCTGATATGTCAAAAGTTCATTCAGTGGGAAGCAATGGGTAGGGAACTATTCTTTTTGTTGTTTTATTCTCACTAATCTACTTTTTCAATGATTTTCCACTGGTAAGTGTTAGGCAGGCATTTCCTCCCTGGCTAACAGACAAGGAGAAGCTCAATAAACTAGGCATTTATGTTCTTTTCCATTCATCCAAAATTGAAGATTGTGGATTTATCAGCCTCTGTCATCTAACCCAGAAATTCCTAACTTTGTTATTATGTTTTTAAATATAGCCTTATGATTTCGTGAGTGTTTTGTGACTACATTGTATCTCTAGTATTGATCTTTCTTCTTCATAAATTATTTTTTTCTTTATATTTTCCCCCTTTAAACTTCACAATTTATATTAAAGTCTATTTAAGGAATTTTAAACACTGGAATCTCATTGGAAACTTGGTAGAACATAATTTTCCTGAGTAACATAGGAAATTAATAATTGTTTAGAGATCATAGGCTAACTTCTTAGGTTCACATAAAGTCAATTGATATAATAGACTAGCACTTGAATTATCTGTGGTATATGAAGGGATCCAACACCTTCAGTGACCCATCAACAATTTCATTCAGCCTCAGACATATGGCTGCATTTGTATTCTACTAACTACCCATACTATTGAATAGTTAAGTCATATATTCAGATATTTTCAAATGACTTTAAAATTATGCAAACATTGTCTCTATATTTTTTATCTTATCTGGATCAGTTTTAATATTTAATAGGTGATTATTAAATAGTAAAGGAGTAGTGATGAAATTTAATTATTTCATAGTTTTAATAACTTGATAATAATCATACTCATAAAAATGGAAACAGTAACCTATTTCACTTTTATTCTTGAACCAGACAACAAGGGGGAGAAACCATTCTCCAAAGTAATATTACATGTTAATAGCATTATATAAACCTAAAGGGTGTAACTCTAGCCAAAATATTCCTTGAAATGGTAGAAGGAAAGAAGCCTTTTCATGTACTTATTTGCCTTTATCTTTTAAAGTGCTTATAGTTCTGCCTGGATGTATAATCCTCATATAAAGGTTTGGGATAAATTAAGTACACAGATTATACATTCTGTTTTCTTATAAAAACCCAGGGTTCTAAGAATACAGGAAAAGTATCAGAGTCATAATTCTGTTTTAGAAAGGAGAAAAGATTTTTCGAATTTTTAGATTTATCTATTTATATAATTTGTTGCTCTATCAGTATTTTTTTATACATAAGACATATTTATATATAGTCAATTCATCTTATTTGATTTAGTAGACATTTATTCAATAGAAGAAAAACATAGCAGCAAGCAAGAAAGAAAAGGTTAAATCTTGAAGCATGAACAATAGACTGTTTTGAGGCCTTAATATGCTTTAATTTCTCTAAATGCCTAAATAGTCTCTGGTGTATATACAACCACAAACTTTAGGTCACATTTTCATGTTTTTTAAAAGCCCTGGGGATTGAGCGGCACCACGTGCTTCTGACCTCAGATTCCAAGAGCCCAACCTGAGTACTTACTCTGGACTCCACAAATCATAAATCTGCCCTGGGAATTGCTTAGTTAACAACAAGCATTGTTCTGTGAAGTGGGAGTAGGTGAACTTGCCTGATATCCTTTGTTTATGCTCCCTGGGGTGCTGAAGGCTGTGCATTGTGCAGAAATTTAAGAGTGCACTGAAGGAAAGCCAGCTATTTAATACTAAGGACAAAAACCATATACTCCTTTCTATTTTCTGTTTACATACAGAAAAGCATTGTTTGAGAAATGCATGTGGGTGAGGTTATCTGGGATGTCCTGCCCCTAAAACTCTCTGTTCCCACAGTTAAATTCTTAATTCTGAAGCCTTAAGGAACATAGCTTTGTAAAATTATCTGTACCAATGATATGTAAACTTCATTAACCGTTCCTTTTGTTACATAGAATGAGCATTGTTTTCAATAAGTAATTGTGGGACTAGTGTGGGCTTTCAAGGGTCTGCATTCCATATGCAGATATCCAATATACTAAAGAGAAAACTAAGTTGGTGATACATTTCATATATTTTGATTTCTTCCTCATGCCTACATGCATGCTAAGAAGATTATACGTACTAATGTAGTTGAAAAATGAATAAATCTACTCCACGGAAGACTCAGCTCCTACATAGAATGGTGACCTTGAATTTCTGAAAAGTTTATATGACCAAAATATCTTTTAGAAATGAATTTACAACCTCTCTGGCTTGATGAAAAGGTGTGCATCAAGATGATATCTCACAGCTTATATACAATGATGAATTGTGTCATTAGCAGTCATAAATATGTGTGGTGAGAGGATCTCCCTGAATGTATGTGAAGCTGTATGAGCTCTAGTAAGAGAGTTTGCTTACCTGTGGGAAACACTTGGCACTGTCCTCAGCATCTCAAAATGGAACCATGGCTCCTGGAGGGACCTACAATGTATGAGTCTCTGGTGATTATCAGCAGTAGCAGAAGTCAATGCTTTTCAATTTAAGTGAAAGCACTTATTAATTGACTTGTTTTTGTCATCCAATAAATATTCATTGGGGGGTATGTACATGGCATGATGCTCTGGGCATAGTTTGTCAAGAACATTTACATTCTATGTATTTTGTAAAGTGTAACCGTCTCTTTTTTAGATACCTCTTTCTATTGAGAGCTTGTCTGATTAAATTTTTCTAATGAATTTCAAAGATGCTATTTAATTCATTAACTAGCATCATACTTGCTGCCAAAATTTAGCATAGATTAAAAATAAAGTATTTTATTCAGTGAACAAATGAGAGAACTAGGAAGCAAAAAGGCTGGTGACTCATTTGTCTGGGATAGAAGCTTTAAGATGGAGCTAAGATTTCAACTCAGGACCCTGGGTCCATAGAGTTGCCTTCTCTTGTAAGATTTCATCCAGACTCTTGATATACTTTATCTACCTAAATCCTGTTGTGCATATTCCATACTGTATGAAATTTGAATTAGGGTATCTTCCTACGATGGAGAAAGGGAGAGTCTTAAGAAGATTTTATTAAAACCACAAGGAAGTTTGGGCATAACATTGCAAAGCAGGTTTAAATCAGAACAAAATTAACTCATTCATTAATTTAACAAATACCTTTAAGTACCTTCTATATGTCAGGCTCTGTATCAAGCAAAGAGATTAAAAAGGTGAAAATGAAATTGTCCCTACACATGAGAAGCTCGCAGTTTGGTAGGAGGAGTCCGATCTCTGTAAATAACATGGAATAAAGGATTTCAAGTGCTGAGTTATTAATAGAAATCTGGGTAAGGAAGAGGGCAGAACTCATTGAAATCAGAGCTCAACTCTGATTGTGTCAAGTGAAATTGGAGTACGTCAGGAAAACCAGCAGAGAGAGAGGGCTCTGGAGATGATATTTGAAGGAGGCTAGGTTGGGGAAGAGCTTTTCCATTTAATCTGAAAAACATTTATTGAGCACCCACAAAGACAGAACACAGCCCTTGCCTTCATTGAATTTATTGTCTAGTGAGAGAATATGGCATTAAGCCAATACTGACCTGTGCAGTGAGAAGGCAGGGGAAACAGAATGCTAGGGGAACTTAGAGCAAACAGGATGGGTTCCATGAAGTAGGGCTGCATCTGTCATATTCACTGCACTCTCCCCTGCATCTGGTGCAGTGCCTGGCACGTGCTAGTTGCTCAATGAATGAATGGATTTATAACTGCGTAACTAAAATTGATCTGGGCCTAAGAGATAGGAAGCTAAGGTCTAGAATGTTAAATGCCTGCTGTTCTCACAGGACTGGAGAGCAGAGTAAAAAGTTGGAGGAGGTGTGAAAAAAAGGCTTTGGAAGAAGCTGAAGTCCAGATCCTGGAGTTAATTGTTGAATTCATGGTTCTTAACCAGGATAGTGCATCAGAATCACCTGATAAAGCTTTTAAGCAGAAAAATGCCTGCCTGCCCTACTCTACTGAAAATATTGATTCAGTAGACAGAAGTGGATGATAATGATTATATTCTAATGCTCATCTCTCATTGAGAACCACTGCTTGAAATATGGTCTCTGGACCAGCAGCATCAGCATCTCTTAGGAATTTGTTAGAAATGTCATTTCTGGGTCCCACTCCAGGCCTACTGAATTGGATAGTCTGGGGGTGGAGACTAGCAGTCTTTGTTTAGCAAGCCTCCCAAGTGATTCTGATGCTAAAGTTTGAGAGACACCACTTTGGGCATTGGAGATTTTTAGGTTAGAATTAATGGAGAATGTGGAGACTGGATTGGAGACTAAAGCCTGAAAGAATTGACCCATGTGACCTCAGTGACCCATGGGATGAGGGGAGTGAGAAAAAGAGAACCACTCTGATGTCCCAGTGATTGGGTCAAGAAGGAGAAAGAAAACAGGAATATTTGGATTCAGATGACTTTGGCATCAGTCAACATTTAATATTTATTGAGCACGTATTAAGTACAGGCTGTGCTAGACACTGGAGACATGGAGGCTATGGGACACAAAGGATGGCAGGTATATGTAAATCAGGAAAACCTTCTAAAAGTGTCACGGATGATGGCCTAGGGTCAGAACTAACAATAATGGTGTTTCTCACAGAGGAGGCAGTGCATGCAAACAGATCAAACCACTAAAGGGGTATCTAGCATGACTAGGTTAGCAGTTTACAACAATTTTCTGGTAATAGTGTGGAGAATAGATTGGTTAGGGCAAGACTAGACAGTGCTCAGTTAAGAGGCTATTCCAGTCATCTATGTGAGAAATAGTTAGGGCCTGAGCTAAGACAGCAGCAATGGAAACTGAAAGAAGGAAGTTGAATTGACAAACCTTAGTCACAGTGTGGATGCCGGCTGTTGAGGGAGAGGAGTTTTAAGAACAGACTTTCATATGTCAGGCTTGTGCACTCTGGCAAATGGATGTGTCATTCACTGAGGTGGGGAATGTGAGGAGAAGGAGAGTGGAAAGCTGAGTATTTGGGACATAATTCTTTTGATGATCTGGGGAACATCCAAGGGGAAATGCCTAGGAAG